CCAATATAAAATATTTGAAATACTACAATTTTGGCCGTATTCAATATATTACAAAATAAAAAAATTAAAAAAAATTATATTATATAAAAACACACACACACTATGTTGAAATGCGGCTTTATTAAAAAAAAAAAAGCAAAAATATATAGTGTATGAAAAAAAAATAATATATATATATATATATATATATATAAATTCTTATTACTTTTTTTTTTTTTAAAAAATATTGAATAACGGCCAAAATTGTAGCATTTCAAAATATTCTTGTAGCATTTTAAAAAAATTCTTAAAATATATTTGAAATACTACAATTTTTGGCCGTATTCAAATATTTAAAAAAAAAAAAAAGTAAAAAGAATATATATACACATACACACACTGTGTGTTGAAATGCATTTTTTATTCAAAAAAAAACATATGAAAATTTTTGGAACACAAAATTTACAAATAAAAAAATATATGTTAAAATTACTTTTTTTATATGTTAAAAAAAAAAAAATGAATATATTTAAAAAAAAAAAATATATTTTTTAAAAATATTTTTCATATATTTTGTAAAATATATAAAATGCATTTCAACATGCAGAAAAAAAAAAAAAAAAATAAAAAAATATATATATATATATATATATAAAATATATAATATATATTATAATATTATATAAAAATTTTTTTTTTTTTTAAATATATTGAATACGGCCAAAAAAAAAGCATTTTAAAATATTTTAAAAAAATATTTGAAATACTACAATTTTGGCCGTATTCAATATATTTTAAAAAAAAAAAAAGTAATAAGAAAAAAATATATACAAAATAAAAACACTGTGTGTTGAAATGCATTTTTTATTCATTACACAAAATATGAAAATTTTTGGAAAACATTTACAAATATTTGTAAAAATATATTTAAAATTACTTTTTTATATGTTAAAAAAAAAAAAAATCTGAAGAATATATTTTAAAAAAAATATATATTTTTAAAAATATTTTTCATATATTTTGTAAAATATATAAAAAGCATTTCAACATGCAGAATGTATATATATATATATATATAAATATAAATTTTTTTTTTTTTTTAAATATATTGAATACAGCCAAAATTGTAGCATTTTAAAATATTCTTAAAATATATTTGAAATACTACAATTTTGGCCGTATTCAATATATTTAAAAAAAAAAAAAAAGTAATAAGAATATATATACACATACACACACTGTGTGTTGAAATGCATTTTTTATTCATTACAAAACATATGAAAAATTTTTGGAACACATTTACAAATATTTGTAAAAATATATGTTAAAATTACTTTTTTATATGTTAAAAAAAAAAATCTGAAGAATATATTTAAAAAAAATATATTTTTTAAAAATATTTTTTTATATATTTTTAAAATATATAAAAATGCATTTCAACATGCAGAATGTATATATATATATATATATATATATATATATATATATATATATATAAAAAAAAAATTTTTTTTTAAATATATTGAATACGGCCAAAATTGTAGTAGCATTTTAAAATATTCTTAAAATATATTTGAAATACTACAATTTTGGCCGTATTCAATATATTTAAAAAAAAAAAAAAAGTAATAAGAATATATATACACATACACACACTGTGTGTTGAAATGCATTTTTTATTCATTACAAAACATATGAAAATTTTTGAAACACATTTACAAATATTTGTAAAAATATATGTTAAAATTACTTTTTTATATGTTAAAAAAAAAAAAATCGGAAGAATATATTTAAAAAAATATATATTTTTAAAAATATTTTTCATGTATTTTGTAAAATATATATAAAATGCATTTCAACATGCAGAGTGTATGTGTATAATTTTTTTTTTTTTTTTTTAAATATATTGAATACGGCCAAAATTGTAGTATTTCAAATATATGTGAATATATTTGGGAATAGAATATTTTTAAAAATCAAAATCTACATTTTTGGAATGCATTTACACACACACACACACATATATATATGTATATACACATACTTTTTTTTTTTTAATATATCGAATACGGCCAAAATTGTAATATTTCTAATAACTTTTTCCTCCATATGGGAAGTATTGAACTCGTTACCATTTTTCTAGGTAAATATCTTTTGACATGAAATTTTCACCTCATGTCGCTAACAACCAATCCAATACAATCCAGACCAGGGGCGGACTGACCATTTGGGCTCTCGGGGACTGCCCAAGGGCCCAGGGTCAGTAGGGGGCCCCATGAGATGCCCCTGGTACCTTTTTCATAGGCTTTTTTGAGTGTGGGCAAGGACACAGGGGCCCCATGATCCCCTATTGCCCGGGGGGCCCCATGAGTTGTCAGTCCGCCCCTGATCCATATATCCGCCCCATGATCCCCTATTGTCCGGGGGGCCCCATGAGTTGTCAGTCCGCCCCTGATCCATATATCCGCCCCATGATCCCCTATTGCCCGGGGGCCCCATGAGTTGTCAGTCCGCCCCTGATCCATATGTCCGCCCCATGATCCCCTATTGCCCGGGGGCCCCATGAGTTGTCAGTCCGCCCCTGATCCATACATACAAAGAAACCAAAACAAATCGGAATTAAGTTATGTGTTAAAAAATGGAAAAAGTATTGAACACATGAAGAAATGGAGGTGCAGAAAGCCATGGAAAGCCAAGACACCGGCTGAAATCTATCGGTCATTAAAAAGCAATCCTTCCCCTTGTCGGTGCAAATTAATAACCGCTGGTTCAGTCTCAACTGATGGCCTATAAAAAGGGGTCCCATTACCAAGGTGTCACACCAGAAACCTCTCATGATGGGTAAAAGCAAAGAGCTCTCTCAAGACCTTCGAAACCTTATTGTTGCAAAGCCTACTGATGGCATTGGTTACAGAAGGATTTCTAAACTTCTGAATGTTCCAGGGAGCACTGCTGGGGCCATAATCCGGAAGTGGAAAGACCATCACTTCACCATAAACCGGCCACCACCAGGTGCTCCTCGCAAGACTTCTGACAGAGGAGTGAGAAGAATTATCAGAAGAGTTGTCCAAGAGCCGAGGACCGCTTGTTGGTGCAAATTAATAACAGCTGGTTCATTATCAACCAGGGGCGGACTGACAACTCATGGGGCCCCCCCGGCAATAGGGGATCATGGGGCCTCTGTGTCCTTGTTCAAACTCAAAAAAGCCTATGAAAAAAAAAAAAAAGTACTAGGGGCATCACATGGGGCCCCCTACTGACCCTGGGCCCTCGGGCAGTGCCCGAGTTTCCAAATGGTCAGTCCACCCCTGTTCTCAAATGAATGGCCTATAAAAAGGTGTCTCATTACCAAGGTGTCACACCAGAAACATCTCATGATGGGTAAAAGCAAAGAGCTCTCTCAAGACCTTCGAAACCTCATTGTTGCAAAGCCTACTGATACATTGTCTTTTTTCAGCCAGACTAACTATGTGACTAACGTCCATCCAGTTCAACCGTAACGATGACGACAGGGATTGGGGTATTCATGGTCCACCTTGCCGAAAACCAGGCAGACCCCTATTTTTTCCAGGAGGCCTGCCAAAGCAAGGCCTACCCAAGAACTAGGTGGAAGGAGATCCCATGGGAGGGGGAGAACCTGACCAAAAGACCACCAGCCCTCCCACCCAGACTTTCAGGGCAAGCCCAAGGATCCACACCCTCTCCTTTAAGCTCAATCTGTTCTAAAAGGCCCGCCCCCGAGGAACGTGTCACAGCACTCCTTGACTGAACAGCTGGAAGAATGCCACTGGAGGAAGGCCGACTAGAAGACTGCATGAAAAATGTATGTTTTGGGTATTTACTTATATAAAAACTAAATCCTCTGCTTGGAACTCTAGCCCACCTAGGTACACTCGCTCCTGCAGACCTACGCCCACCCATCAAGACATTTTAAGTTCCGCACAACTCCTCCCACAAGCAAGCCCGCTGCCTGCTTCAGGATTGGCGGCTCTTGAGATGAGTACGGAGGAAGGGTGCTGTGATGTTTTCAGGCCCCTTCCACCAGCCACGATCTGCCTGTGTTGCATATAGAAGCACAGAGACCCAGTGACGATCAGGGATGGACTGACCATTCGAGCACTCGGGCACTGCCTGAGAGCCAGGGGTCAGTAGGGGGCCCCATGAAATGCCCCTGGTACCTTTTATAGGCTTTTTTTGAGTGTGGGCGAGGACATAGAGGTCCCCTATTGCCCGGGGGCCCCATGAGTTGTCAGTCCTCCCCTGGTGACGATATCATTCGGTGCTTCGGTCTTACCTAGGAAGATAGCGATGGAGTACCCTCGGGCTCCGGACCTCTCCGAGCTGTCCGACTGCAGCGGGAAGCACACGCCGTTCCGGCCGTAGAAGTTGCCAAACGTCTCATAGCTGAAGAAAGGGATGACGGTGATGAAGAAGCCGAGTCCCCAAATGGCCAACAGCGCCCCCAGGGTCTGACCGCGCCCGGCTCGGTGGTGGCTGAACGGGAAGACGATGCAGAAGTATTTCTCCAGAGTCATGTAAGTGAGCATCAGAACGGAGACCTCCGAGGACAGCATGGCCAACGAGCCGACCACCTTACACTCCCAGCTCTCCATCCAGGCCTGGGCGTGCTTGTTGTACTCCCCCTGGAACTTGATGTCATAGGCGCCCAGGCAGAAGAGATAGAACCCCATCAGACAGTCCGCGCCTGCGGAGAACGGGAAAGTTATGTATTACCATAGAAAAAAAAAAAAACTACATAAAACAGTTCAGAAAATTTAAATTCAAGGAGGGATCCTGGTGTAGGACACGGAAAAGAGGTCATCTGGTGGAGGTTGGTCGCGTCCATCTGGACGTTCCGTGATATTGAAAACATTTCACTACTCATCCAAGTAGCTTCCTCAGATCAAGAACAGTTGTGGCCATACAGGTACCTCAGTCACCTTATCCAAGACATTCTCAATCAAAGGCCCATGGAACCCCGAGTTCCTCCAGAGGTTGCTGAGGGTTCCTCGAGTTTTGGCTGGTTGACCTTCTAGTTGATGGTGGCTGCATAGCTTCGGTGCATTGGAAGGTCCAGTGACATGACATCAGTTATCTGATCACCAATGTAAGGGACATTCTTCCCACTGACCACCAATGTAAGGGACATTCTTCCCACTGACACCCAATGTAAGGGACATTCTTCCCACTGACACCCCAATGTAAGGGACATTCTTCCCACTGACCCCCAATGTAAGGGACATTCTTCCCACTGACCCCCAATGTAAGGGACATTCTTCCCACTGACCCCCAATGTAAGGAACATTCTTCCCACTGACCACCAATGTAAGGGACATTCTTCCCACTGACCACCAATGTAAGGGACATTCTTCCCACTGATCACCATCGTACGGGACATTCTTCCCACTGACCCCCAATGTAAGGGACATTCTTCCCACTGACCCCCCAATGTAAGGAACATTCTTCCCACTGATCACCAATGTAAGGGACATTCTTCCCACTGACCACCAATGTAAGGGACATTCTTCCCACTGATCACCAATGTAAGGGGCATTCTTCCCACTGACCCCCAATGTAAGGAGCATTCTTCCCACCGACCCCCAATGTAAGGGACATTCTTCCCACTGACCACCAATGTAAGGGACATTCTTCCCACTGACCACCAATGTAAGGGACATTCTTCTCACTGACCCCCAATGTAAGGGACATTCTTCCCACTGATCACCAATGTAAGGAACATTCTTCCCACTGACCACCAATGTAAGGGACATTCTTCCACTGACCCCCAATGTAAGGGACATTCTTCCCACTGACCCCCAATGTAAGGGACATTCTTCCCACTGACCCCCAATGTAAGGGACATTCTTCCCACTGATCACCAATGTAAGGGACATTCTTCCCACTGACCACCAATGTAAGGGACATTCTTCCCACTGATCCACCATCGTACGGGACATTCTTCCCACTGACCCCCAATGTAAGGGACACATTCTTCCCACTGACCCCCAATGTAAGGAACATTCTTCCCACTTCCCACTGATCACCAATGTAAGGGACATTCTTCCCACTGACCACCAATGTAAGGGACATTCTTCCCACTGATCACCAATGTAAGGGGACATTCTTCCCACTGACCCCCAATGTAAGGAGCATTCTTCCCACTGATCACCAATGTAAGGGACATTCTTCCCACTGACCACCAATGTAAGGGACATTCTTCTCACTGACCCCCAATGTAAGGGACATTCTTCCCACTGATCACCAATGTAAGGAACATTCTTCCCACTGACCACCAATGTAAGGGACATTCTTCCCACTGACCCCCAATGTAAGGGACATTCTTCCCACTGACCCCCAATGTAAGGGACATTCTTCCCACTGACCCCCAATGTAAGGGACATTCTTCCCACTGATCACCAATGTAAGGGACATTCTTCCCACTGACCTCCAATGTAAGGGACATTCTTCCCACTGACCACCAATGTAAGGGACATTCTTCCCACTGACCCCAATGTAAGGGACATTCTTCCCACTGACCACCAATGTAAGGGACATTCTTCCCACTGACCACCAATGTAAGGGACATTCTTCCCACTGACCACCAATGTAAGGGACATTCTTCCCACTGACCACCAATGTAAGGGACATTCTCCCCACTGACCCCCAATGTAAGGGACATTCTTCCCACTGATCACCAATGTAAGGGACATTCTTCCCACTGACCACCAATGAATTGTTCTTATCGGTGGATTCCGAGACCTGATAATTATTTTAAGGGTTCCTTTGGGGTAAAAAGGTTGAGAAATCTACCTTCTTAGAGAAATCTAATTATCTTGGTGTCAAGTGGGATGTTGACTGTCCAAGAATATGATGGGAGGTGTGAAAGTTTTATTTCCATATGCTACTCACCATGGTGCTAAGAAGTCTAAGACAGGCCGGTGTTTATTGTTTGAGTTGAATGACTGAAGAGCGTTTCCAAATTGCCACTTGGATGAGTGGTGAGACACCTTCAACATTACAGAACGTCCATTTGAATGACACCAACTACCATACCACCAAAAAAATGCTGTGGAAACCTGACCATCCCATTCCAAAACCAAAGCAATTGCTTCAGAGTTGGCCTCCCGCTTTGTAGCTACAACCTCCTTCAATCTTCTGGGAAGACGTTCCTCAGGATTTTGGAGAGTGTCTGTGGGAACTTGGCCATCCCATTCCAAAACAATTGCTTCAGAGTTGGCCTCCCCGCTTTGTGGCTACAACCTCCTCTAATCTTCTGGGAAGACGTTCCTCAGGATTTTTGGAGGGTGTCTGTGGGAACTTGGCCATGTGTGAGGTCAGGTACTGGTGTTGGATGGGAAGACCTGGCTCATGATTGGCATTGGACGTCACCCTCCAAAGGAATGGTTAAACCCAACCAAGTCTTTATGGATCTGGCTTTGTACATGTGGGAACAGTCATGCTGGAACAGAAAAGGGTCTTCACCAAACTGGCTGTGAGCTTGTTGGATATCCATTAATATTGGGTTGTCCTACCTTCATGGTTATACCATCCTCCACTCTTCTCGGAAGGCTTTCCACAGGATTTTGGAGGCTGTCTTTGGGAACTTGACCATTTGTGAGGTCAGGTAGTGATGCTGGATGAGAAGACCATTTGACGTCACCCTAAAGGGATGGTTAAACCAAACTATGTCTTTATGGAGCTGGCTGGGGACAGTCATGTTGAAACAGAAAAGGGTCTTCACCAAACTGTTACCACAAGGTTGGAAGAGCACAATTGTCTACAATGTCTATGTTGGAGTATTACCGGGACCCTTCACTGGAGAACCTGAACTCCATCGTTTGGAAGAGGGTTCACAGACTTTTTCCCCATATAGGTAGATGTGATGGTCAGGTGTCCACATACATTTAGCTATATGACCATATAGTGTACTATGGATAAATGAAAACCTTAACAGACACATGAAATGACAATTTAGACCAGTGGTCTCCAAACTGTGGCCGGCAGGCTGAATGTGGTGCTTTGCTTGCTGTCATCAGGCCCTTGGGAGGACCATTCATCACCCTTTTGAGGCACTATTCCTCCTACTGACACCAATGAGACACCATTCCTTCCACTGACACCAATGATGGGGCACTATTCCTTCCACTGACACCAATGATGGGGCACTATTCCTCCCACTGACACCAATGATGGGGCACTATTCCTCCCACTGATACCAATGATGGGGCACTACTCCTCCCACTGATACCAATGATGGGGCACTACTCCTCCCACTGACACCAATGATGGGGCACTACTCCTCCCACTGACACCAATGATGGGGCACTACTCCTCCCACTGACACCAATGATGGGGCACTACTCCTCCCACTGACACCAATGACGGGGCACTGTTCCTCCCACCGACACCAATGACGGGGCACTGTTCCTCCCACCGACACCAATGACGGGGCACTGTTCCTCCCACCGACACCAATGACGGGGCACTGTTCCTCCCACCGACACCAATGACGGGGCACTGTTCCTCCCACCGACACCAATGACGGGGCACTGTTCCTCCCACCGACACCAATGACGGGGCACTGTTCCTCCCACCGACACCAATGACGGGGCACTGTTCCTCCCACCGACACCAATGACCTGTTCCTCCACCGACACAATGACGGGACACCAATGACACTGTTCCTCCCACCGACACCAATGACGGGGCACTGTTCCTCCCACCGACACCAATGACTGTTCCTCCCACCGACACCATGACGGGGCACTGTTCCTCCCCGACACCAATGACGGGGCACTGTTCCTCCCACCGACACCAATGACGGGGCACTGTTCCTCCCACCGACACCAATGACGGGGCACTGTTCCTCCCACCGACACCAATGACGGGGCACTGTTCCTCCCACCGACACCAATGACGGGGCACTGTTCCTCCCACCGACACCAATGACGGGGCACTGTTCCTCCCACCGACACCAATGACGGGGCACTGTTCCTCCCACCGACACCAATGACGGGGCACTGTTCCTCCCACCGACACCAATGACGGGGCACTGTTCCTCCCACCGACACCAATGACGGGGCACTGTTCCTCCCACCGACACCAATGACGGGGCACTGTTCCTCCCACCGACACCAATGACGGGGCACTGTTCCTCCCACCGACACCAATGACGGGGCACTGTTCCTCCCACCGACACCAATGACGGGGCACTGTTTCCTCCCACCGACACCAATGACGGGGCACTATTTTCCCTCCCACCGACACCAATGACGGGGCACTATTCCTCCCACCGGCACCAATGACGGGGCACTATTCCTCCCACCGGCACCAATGACGGGGCACTATTCCTCCCACCGACACCAATGACGGGGCACTATTCCTCCCACTGACACCAATGATGGGACACTATTCCTCCCACTGACACCAATGATGGGGCACTATTCCTCCTACTCATCACAAGCACTATGTAACTGTCTTACTCCCACTGATGCCGGGGCATTTCCTACTTCCAATGGCCACACAATGGCCCTCTCAAAGTCTAAAGGACGGTAAACTGGTCCTTCGTTTGGAAAGTTTGGAGACCCCCAATTTAGAACATGGAGATTTCCACGAAGCAGCTGAGGGGGAGATATTGAGAAGTTCTGCTTTGGGTAAGCTTTGCAGATGGCACTGATAAGATGATCAGGAATGGAATTGTGTGTCCCAGTTGACTCTAATGGGCACAGTGCCCGGGATACTGCCACGTTATCAGCGCATTTTGCCACACTCACAGCAGAGAGACTTGATGGACATGGCATGCTGGCAGTTTTCTGTGACTATGAACGATCTCATGCAGATGACGAACAGGTTCCCGAAGCAGGTAACGCAGGCCATGACCCAGACGAAGACTCGGAGCAAGATGTTGGCCAGCATGTTTTCAAAGGACGAGATTCCATCGCTGTTCGGCTTGCAGCTGCGAACATGCGGGGCGTAACTGCAATACTGGAACTTCTTGAAGTATCTAGAAGGCAAATGGAAGAGAAGTGAGAGGTTGTTACAGAAACAATAGCAGAGAAGGTTTCACATTCGTCTGATATAAAGAAAGATTTCTGTTCTATAATGAAGCTCAACCGAGGTCGAGGCCTTCAAGAAACAGGTTGAGATGGCTTCTGGTAGTCTTTACTGGAAGCTCTCTGGGGAGAGAAGACTGAGGAAATGTTTCCTCCTGCCTGAAGCAGACTGATAACATCAGTACAGTCTAGGAAAAGTCAACTCAAGGAGGGCCTTTAATGATTAAAAAATTGGAACTTTTTTGAACGACGCTTTTCTGTATGTTGTGAAGGGTCAGTAATTTATTCATGGAGATTTTTTTGAAGTTACCGACGGGTCCAATTTAACACAATACATGTGTAATGGGTAGTAACTGGAATTGTTGAGGAAAAAACCCAACACAACTGTTCATTCTTATGTAGCTTTTATCCCAGCAACCAAAAAAATTTATGAGGGAAACCTTACCAGCAGATATGAGTTGAGATCCTCGAATATGGTTCGTTACAAAGAGCTGACCAGAGATAGTTGAGTGCTCGAGTTCTTACAAAGAGCTGGCCAGAAGATATGAGTTCAGATCTTGAGTTCTTACAAAGAGCTGACCAGAGATAAGAGTTGAGATCCTCAAGTTCTTAAAAAGAGCTGGTCAGAAGATATGAGTTGAGATTCTCAAGTTTTTTACAAACAGACCAGCAGCTAGGAGTTGAGATCCTAAAGTCCTAACAAAGAGCTCACCAACAGCTAGGAGTTGAGATCCTCAAGTTCTTACAAAGAGCTGACCAGCAGATATGAGTTGAGATCCTCGAGTTCTTACAAAGAGCTGACCAAGTATGGTTGAGAAAAAGAGCTGACCAGAAGATATGAGTTGAGATTCTCAAGTTTTTACAAAGAGCTGACCAGCAGCTAGGTTGAGATCCTCATTCTAAAAAGAGCTGGTCAGAAGAAAGTTGAGATCTCACCAAAGAGCTGACCAGCAGAGTTGAGATCCTCAAGTTCTTACAAAGAGCTGACCAGCAGATATGAGTTGAGATCCTCGAGTTCCTACAAAGAGCTGACCAGCATCTATGAGTTGAGATCCTCGAGTTCCTACAAAGAGCTGACCAGCAGGTATGGGTTGAGATCCTCGAGTTCCTACAAAGAGCTGACCAGCAGGTATGAGTTGAGATCCTCGAGTTCTTACAAAGAGCTGATCAGCAGATTCGAGTTGAGATGCTCGAGTTCTTACAAAGAGCTGACCAGCAGATATGGGTTGAGATCCTCGAGTTCTTACAAAGAGCTGGCCAGCAGATATGAGTTGAGATCCTCGAGTTCCTACAAAGAGCTGACCAGCATCTATGAGTTGAGATCCTCGAGTTCCTACAAAGAGCTGACCAGCAGGTATGGGTTGAGATCCTCGAGTTCCTACAAAGAGCTGACCAGCAGGTATGAGTTGAGATCCTCGAGTTCTTACAAAGAGCTGACCAGCAGATTCGAGTTGAGATGCTCGAGTTCTTACAAAGAGCTGACCAGCAGATACGAGTTGAGATCCTCAAGTTCTTACAAAGAGCTGACCAGCAGATAGGAGTTGAGATCCTCGAGTTCTTACAAAGAGCTGACCAGCAGATTTGAGTTCAAATCCTCAAATTTTTACAAAGAGCTCTGGCCAGCAGATATGAGTTGAGATCCTCGAGTTCCTACAAAGAGCTGGCCAGCAGATATGAGTTGAGATCCTCAAGTTCTTACAAAGAGCTGACCAGCATCTATGAGTTGAGATCCTCGAGTTCTTACAAAGAGCTGACCAGCAGGTATGGGTTGAGATCCTCGAGTTCCTACAAAGAGCTGACCAGCAGGTATGAGTTGAGATCCTCGAGTTCTTACAAAGAGCTGACCAGCAGATAGGATTTGAGATCCTCAAGTTCGAGTTCTTACAAAGAGCTGGCCAGCAGATTCGAGTTGAGATCCTCGAGTTCTTACAAAGAGCTGACCAACAAGTATGAGTCGAGATCCTCGAGCTCTTACAAAGGAGCTGGCCAGCAGATAGGAGTTGAGATCTTGTCTCTCACTTCTGTCAATCACAGCAAATAAGGGGAGAGAGACTCGGGAGCAAGCCTGCTTGGGTGCCCTCAGAGCATGCAGCTTGCTATGGGGGCACTAGGCAGGTGCCCCCCTTCACATCAGAGTCCTCTGCCTCCCCACCCCCTTCATATCAGTCCTCAGCCCCTCCTTCACATCAGAGTCCTCCGCCCCCCCCCCCCCCTTTATATCAGAGTTATTAGCCCCTCCAACACATCAGAGTCCTCTGCCCCCCTCCCCCTTCATATCAGAATCCTCAGCTCCCCCTTCTTCACATCAGAGTGCTAAGCCCTCCCATCCCCCTTCACATCAGAGTCCTCAGCAGCCCCCCTTCACATCAGAGTCCTCAGCAGCCCCCCTTCACATCAGAGTCCTCAGCCCCCCTGCTCACTTCATATCAGAATCCTCAGCACCCCCCTTCACATCAGAGTGCTCAGTCCTCCCATCCCCCTTCATATTAAAGCCCTCAGCCACCCTTCACGTCAGAGTCCTCAGCCCCCCACCTCCTTCACAGCAGAGTCTTCAGCCCCCCATCCCCCTTTATATCAGAATCCTCAATATACCAGGGGGTTCGGTTGAGGACTCTGATATGAAGGGGGATGGGGGGGGGCTTAGCATCAGAGCCCCCAGCTACCCCACTTTCACACTGGAGTCCTCAAGCAGCCCACATGCACCACGGAAACGCAAAAATATGGGATGCAGCGTGGTACTCTCATTGAGAAACCAGGGATTACAGGAGGCACCTGCTTTTAAAAAATACACTGCATGCCCCTCCACACCGAGCATTCCATGGCTGTGCTGTGATACGCACAATCGGGGCATTTCTGTACAGCAGGCCATCCATTCAGCACCACATCGGATTGTATTTTTTAAACCAATGCAGCTCAGCACGTGTATGCGTCCCGGGGTGCCGCGGTGTATTGTGTGTCGGGCCGTACAGTACGATGCAGACAATGAACGGCACCACACACAGAGCAGGCGGGTCGCCATGCATCGTGGTAACGGCAAGAACGTGCGCACAAGTGTGAATGATTTATTCATGAACACAGAGCTGCATTAATTGGGGTCTTTTATATCTGCCTGCAAATTTCTGCGGTCAAGAAAAAAAAATAATAATGAGTGCGAGACTGAAAAATTGCGCTGAGATCAGCGCGATTATACGGTGCGTTTATTAAACGAAGTCCGTGTCACTTTGTAAATAATTACCGAGAAAATCTCGTTGACTTTTCTGAGAGCGTCTTCTCTTCGGTCGTGTGCCTACCCTCACCCACCAGTAGAAGCCAAAAAGGGAGGGGGGGGGTCATATTTCTGGGTAAAACCATCCATCAGCAACATTTTAATTTCTTTACTTCATAAACAAAGTGCGACGTTCGCAACAAAGTATCCGACGCCAGGAATGTTTCTTGATTGCAGAACTAGAACCGGGCGTTTTTGTTATCGCAATATTTCTCTAATTGGATAGGTCCACCCACTGCGGAATTTCTGATTCGGCGAAACATTGAGGTTATCTGATCAGACAATTATTTATGGATTTAGTATGCGCAAATGTATTCCGAAGAATTCCAATACTTGAAAAGCAGAGGGCCAGCCAGAAACAACAAGATAGAAAATGAAGACGAGAGGATGAACAAAACCAGCTTTCCCCAGAAATATCCTTTTCTGCCACTAGATGTCCTCAGTCTCATGACCGCCATCATGTAATCCCGGACGAGCCCCCAACCAGCGACTGGACCGTGAAAAGAGAAGCAGCACAACGGTAGGCTCTCGGTCACTGTGCTCTTCTTTCCTATCAGCATATGAACTGATTGGCTTCTTGTGCTGCTTCTTCCTCTCAAACTCCAGCCCTACTATACATGGACTGCAAGAGGCTGGTACCAGGTACTTACACGGTATGCTGATTGATGAATGATCACAGTCATTTTAATTGGACTATAGTTCAACTTTAAAGCCCAGTTTTAAGTTTTAAATTCAATACTCAGCCCGTCCCCAACGGCCATGTCTAGGTTGAATGAGGCTCAGCGCTGTTCACCCCATTCCTGTGAGTTCTGTGAATCCAGGACAGCCCTGCAGGGCAGTAGAGATGTAGGGGCCGGGGTGGGTGGGAGAAGAACCACAGTACCCAGTGGGACCAGCCCCGAAAGACTGAACAAAAACAGCTTTTGATGCAGAAATCTTCCAAGCAATATTCTTTTCTGCCACTAGATGTCCTTCATCTCATGACCACTATCATCCAACCCACATCCTCTAAGGCAGCCTAGGTCATCCCGGACAAGCCCCCAGCCAGTGACTGGACAGTGAAAAGAGAAGCAGCACATTGGTGAGCTCTTCTAGCTTCAATACTCACCCCGTCCCTTACAAGCTCCCCTTGCCTATCCCCAACAGCCATGTTCTAGGTTGAATGAGGCTCAGCGCTGTTCACCCCACTTCCTGTGAGTCCTGTGAATCCAGGACAGCCCTGAAGGGCAGTAGAGATGTAGGGGCGGGGTGTGTGGGGAGAAACCACAGTACCCAGTGGGGACCAGCGCCGGAAGACTGAACAAAAACAGCTTTTGATGCAGAAATCTTCCAAGCAATATTCTTTTCTGCCACTAGATGTCCTTCATCTCATGACCACTATCATTCAACTCCAGGACAACCCACATCCTCTAAGGCAGCCTAGGTCATCCCGGATGAGCCCCCAGCCAGTGACTGGACAGTGTAAAAGAGAAGCAGCACAGGGGTGAGCTCTCCTAGCTCAATAGCTTCAATGCTCCCCGTCCCTTACAAGCTCCCCTTGCCTATCCCAAACAGCCATGTTCTAGGTTGAATGAGGCTCAGCGCTGTTCACCCCACTTCCGGTCAATCCAGGACACCCCTAAAGATGTAGGGGCAAAGGGGGGGGTAGAAGAAACCACAGTACCCAGTGGGGACCAGCCCCGAAAGACTGAACAAAAACAGCTTTTGATACAGAAATCTTCCAAGCAATATTCTTTTCTGCCACTAGATGTCCTTCGTCTCATGACCACTATCGTTCAACCCACATCCTCTAAGGCAGCCTAGGTCATCCCGGACGAGCCCCCAGCCAGTGACTGGACAGTGAAAGGAGAAGCAGCACAATGGTAGGCTCTCTGTCACTGTGCTCTTCTCTCCTATTAGCATATGAACAGATTGGCTTCTTGTGCTGCTTCTTTCTCTCAAACTCCAGCCCTACTATACATGGACTGCAAGAGGCTGATTGATGAATGATCACAGAGCTACAATCATTTTGTCATTTAAATTGGCCTATAGTTGAACTTTAAAGCCCAGCTTTACTTTTTAAGTTCAATACTCACCCCATCCCATACAAGCACCCCTTGCCTATCCCCAACAGCCATCTTCCAGGTTGAATGAGGATCAACCATCATGTAATCCCGGACGAGCCCCCAAGTGAATGGCCCGTGAATGGTAGGCTCTCTGTCACTCTGCTCTTCTCTCCTATCAGCATGCTCCTTATCAATATAAAAAGCCCTAAAATATACCTCTGGCATGGAGTAAATTCACGGTTTGGTGCTACCAAAGAGCTATTGAACCCCCAAATCATCACAACGGATGCACTTTAAGAACAAAGTGCATGGCTGGTTTAAGGCAAGACTGTGACTGGAGTGTTAGAAGAGGCGTGACGATGTTTATGTATATGCAGCATGTGGACAATTATAATGGTCTATAGCATATTATTAGCTGACATTAAGGCTGTCACTTTATACATCAATTCCATTAAAAAAAAAAAAAAAAAAACAAAAAAAAAATGGCATCATTTACAATACACATCTTTAATCGGTAAAGAAAAGCTGTCCTCGAACCTACGTACAAGATCTGAAATCAACACTCAGATGATATCTTTCTTCTACTGGCCAATGAGAGGAGCAACTGAAAGAATGAGGTTACCTGAGGTTGGCAAAGTGAGAGGCATCTCTAACTTCTATGATAAACACCAGGTACACATATGGACAATAAAAGACAAACGCACAGGCACCAGAACTTACATGGTTGTATTATCAATGGACTAGCTACTTCGTGCAGGAAATAGTTGACTGACCAAAGATGGTGGCATTTTTTCGGGGAGAAAAGAAACTGAAGTGTTTCAATGCATCCCACACCTATTAGATCATGATGGACAGCTTATTTCAGAACAATGGACCATTGAAGTTGCTATCCTCACCCCATGGCCATTAATATGGAGTTGCTCCCCCTCTGTGTGGCTATAACAGCCCCCCGTTCTTCTTCCCATTCCAAAACCAGCCTCTTCTAGGAAGGCTTTTCAAAAAGGATGAGGATGTCTGTCGGAGTTTATGCCCATTTGTGAGGTCAGGTACTGATGTTGGATGAGAACACCTGGCTTACAATCAGCATTCCGATTCATCCCAAAGGTGTTCAGTAGAGTTGAGGTCAGGGTTCTGGGAAGACACTTGAGTTCCTCCACCTATCACACTTAAATGAACATGCTGGACATCCCATACCAAACCATGGCCATTAATATAGAGTTGTCCCTCCTCCCCTCATGGCCATTATATGGTGTTGTCCCCTCTGTAGCTATAACATCCTCCTCTCTTCTGTGAAGGCTTTCCACGAGATTTTGGAGGGTGTCTGTGGAAATTTGTCTCCATTTTTTAGGTCAGGTACTGATGTTGGATGAGAAGACCTGTCTCGCAATCAGCATTCCGATTTATTCCAAAGGTTGAGGTCAGGGTTCTGAGAAGACCCTTGAGTTCCTCCACCTATCACACTTATATGAACTTGCTAGACATCCCATACCAAAACCATGGCCATTAATATAGAGTTGTCCCTCCTCCCCCCCCATGGCCATTATATGGTGTCCCCTCTGTGGCTATAACATCCTCCACTCTTCTGTGAAGACTTCCAACAAGATTTTGGAGGGTGTCTGTGGAAATTTGTCTCCATTTTTGAGGTCAGGTACTGATGTTGGATGAGAAGGCCTGTTTCACAACTGGCCTTTCCAATTCATCACAAAAAAGTGTCCAGTAGTAGGGTTGAGGTCAGGGCTTTGAGCTTACTGGACCTTTCATTGGCCATTAATATGGAGTTGGCTTCCTTTTGTCCCCACTGTTTTGGTAAGGCTTCCCACAAGATTTTGGTGAAAATTTTTACAGTTGGTCACCATAGCTCCCTAAAGTTGCTTTTTTGCAACCAAACAGCCTCTGCTGTTCTGGGAAAGCTTTAGACATGAATCTGGGAATGTATGCACATTTGTGAGGTCAGGTACTAACGTTGGAATGCCAATCGTGAGCTGGGTCTTCTCATTCAATTTATGTGAAACATCCTTGACTATTCTGGGAAGGCTTTCCACAAGATTTTGGAGGGTGTCTGTGGGAATTTGTGCCCATTAGTGAGGTTATGTACTGATGTTGGATGGGAAGATCTGGATCACAATCAGTCTTCCATTTCATCCCAAAGGTGTTCAGCAGGGGTTGAGATCAGGGCTCTCTGCAGGACACTTGAGTTCCTTCATGACCTCAAACCTACCTTACACCTTTGGGATGACAAAACTCATCTCCAGAGGGGATATGTAGGGTTAAGGGCAGGTGCTGATGTTGGATAAGAAGACCTTATACCAAAGGTCTTCCAAAAGTAGGGTTTGGGTTAGGACTGTATAGGACACACTAGTTCCTCCACATCAAACTGGTCAAACCATGTCTTTATGGAGCTGGCTTTGTACACGGGCCCAGTCATGGTGGAGCAGAAAAGGGTCTTCACCAAACTGTTACCACACTGTTGAAAGAGCACAATTGCCTACAGTGTCATTGTAGGATGGAGTTTTACCAGGGCCTTTCACTGGAGACACCTGAACTCCATCATTTGGAAGGGGGTTCACAGACTTTTTCCCAAATATGTAGATGTGATCATTAGGAGCCCACCTACATTTCGCTATATGGTAGGTTTGATGGACAGGTTTCTATAATTTTTGCCCATATAGGTAAATGTGATAATTAGGAGTCCACTTACATTTAGCTATACGGTAGGTGTGATGGACAGGTTTCTACAATTTCTGCCCATATAGGTAGGTATGATGATTTGGTGTCAACAGGGCTTTTTTACTCCGAGAATAGGTGCAGGAACCCTTCCTTCTGAGTCACCCCCCCCCCCACCTCCAAGGTTGGAGGAGCACAATTGTCTACAATGTCTTTGTATGATGGAGTATTAACAGCTACTGATGTTGGAATGAGAAGACCTGATCCCTAAGGTCTTCCTAAAGTAGGGTTGACGTCAGAGCTTTGTGCAGGACGCTTACGTTCCTCCACACCAAACTGGTCAAACCATGTCTTTATGGAGCTGGCTTTGTACACAGGGGACCAGTCATAGTGGAAGAGAAAACGGTCTTCACCAAACTGTAGACAATCGTGCTTTTCCAACCTTGTGGTAACAGTTTGGTGAAGACCGTTTTCTCTTCCACTATGACTGGTCCCCTGTGTACAAAGCCAGCTCCATAAAGACATGGGTGACCAGTTTGGTGTGGAGGAACTTAAGCATCCTGCACAAAGCTCTGACGTCAACCCTACTTTAGGAAGACGTTAGGGATCAGGTTTTCTCATCCAACATCAGTAGCTGTTAATACTCCATCATACAAAAGACATTGTAGACAATCGTGCTTTTCCAACCTTGTGGTAACAATGTCTTTGTATGATGGAGTATTAACAGCTACTGATGTTGGATGAGAAAACCTGATCCCTAAGGTCTTCCTAAAGTAGGGGTGACGTCAGAGCTTTGTGCAGGACGCTTAAGTTCCTCCATACCAAACTGGTCAAACCATGTCTTTATGGAGCTGGCTTTGCACACAGGGGACCAGTCATAGTGGAAGAGAAAAGGGTCTTCACCAAACTGCTACCACAAGGTTGGAAAAGCACAATTGTCTACAATGTCTTTGTATGATGGAGTATTAACAGCTACTGATGTTGGATGAGAAGACCTGATCCCTAAGGTCTTCCTAAAGTAGGGTTGACGTCAGAGGTTTGTGCAGGACACTTAAGTTCCTCCACACCAAACTGGTCAAACCATGTCTTTATGGGGCTGGCTTTGCACACAGGGGCCAGTCATGGTGGAAGAGAAAAGGGTCTTCACCAAACTGTTACCACAAGGTTGGAAGAGCACAATTGTCTACAATGTCTCTGTATGATGGATTATTAACAGTCTGCTACTGATGTTGGATGAGAAGTCCTGGCTCATAATCACCATTCCAATTTCAGTTCATCCCAAACTCTTACCAGACGGTTGGAGAAGAACATTTGTCTACAATATCTTTGTATGATGTGATATTACCAGTACCCCCACTGGTGACACCTGAACTCCATCATTAGGGAGGGGGGGGGGGGGGTACATATTTTTGGCTATATAGTGTACACATTGCTGGACTCGCATGGACTTCACATAAACATATGTTGGAGGTTAGGTTTGCTTCAGGACTCATCTTGTACTTACATGTGAGACAGATTGGCCATTTTTAGAGAACATGCGGTTACTGATGTTGGGGATCTCTATACCCTCCATGATCCTGGGGAAGAAGGGAAAGTAACTATATGAGATGTTGCACAAAAACAGGGGTGGGGGGCTTCATCCCCATCTGTCTTCCACACAATGCAGTTTTAACATCTATACCCTTGTGATTATTGATGAAAATTCACACCTTCAGCCACATGAATAGAAAAATTGACACCTGTGCAGACTTCCTGACACCAAGGATGGGATGATCTGATTATAACATGGAGGTGCCACAGCTATCACTCTACTGTGGTGACTGCCCTGAGGGGTCTGTACTGGGGAGAGGGGTCTGTACTGAGAAGAGGGTCTTTACTGGGGGGTGATTGTCCTGAGGGTTCTGTACTGGGGAGGAAGTCTTTACTGAGGGGGAGGGCTGTACTGGAGAAGAGGGGTTTTTACTGAGGGGGCTGTACTGGGAATGGGGTCTGTACTGGTGGGGGTGTCTATACTAAGGGATTATTACTAGGAAGGGGGGTCTTTACCGAGAGGGGGTCTTTACTGAAGGGTCTTTACTGGGAAGGTGGTCTTTACTGGGGTGGTGACTGACCTGACAGGTCTGTACTGGGAAGGGGAGCCTATAATTAGGGGTCTGTACTGGGGAGGGGATCTGTACTGGAGAAGAGGGTTTTTTTACTGAGGAGGCTGTACTGGGGAAGTGGTCTTAACTGAGGGGAACTTTACTGCGAAGGGGGTCTGTACTGTGGGGGGGGGGGGTCTATACTGAAGGATTGGTACTGGGAAGAGGGGTCTGAACCGGGAAAAGGGTATTTACTGATGGGTCTGTACTGGGAAGGTGGTCTTTATTGGGAGGTGACTGTCCTGAGTGGTCTGTACTGGGAAGGTGGTCTTTACTGGGGGAGTGACTGTCCTGATGGGTCCGTACTGGGAAGGTGGTCTTTACTGGGGAGTGACTGTCCCGAGGGGTCTGTACTGGGAAGGTGGTCTTTACTGGGGGGTAGTGACTGTCCCGATGGGTCTGTACTGGGAAGGTGGTCTTTACTGGGGGAGTGACTGTCCCGATGGGTCTGTACTGGGAAGGTGGTCTTTACTGGGGAGTGACTGCCCTGAGGGGTCTGTACTGGGAAGGTGGTCTTTATTGGGAGGTGACTGTCCTGAGGGGTCTGTACTGGGAAGGTGGTCTTTAATGGGGAGTGACTGTCCAGAGGGGTCTGTACTGGGAAGGTGGTCTTTACTGGGGGAGTGACTGCCCTGATGGGTCTGTACTGGGAAGGTGGTCTTTACTGGGGGAGTGACTGTTCCGATGGGTCTGTACTGGGAAGGTGGTCTTTACTGGGGAGTGACTGTCCTGATGGGTCTGTACTGGGAAGGTGGTCCTTACTGGGGAGTGACTGTCCTGAGGGGTCTGTACTGGGAATGTGGTCTTTACTGGGGGAGTGACTGTCCCGAGGGGTCTGTACTGGGAAGGTGGTCTTTACTGGGGGAGTGACTGTCCTGATGGGTCTGTACTGGGAAGGTGGTCTTTACTGGGGAGTGACTGTCCTGATGGGTCTGTACTGGGAAGGTGGTCTTTACTGGGGAGTGACTGTCCTGATGGGTCTGTACTGGGAAGGTGGTCTTTACTGGGGAGGGACTGTCCTGATGGGTCTGTACTGGGAAGGTGGTCTTTACTGGGGGAGTGACTGTCCTGAGGGGTCTGTACTGGGAAGGGGAGTCTATGCTTAGGGGTCTGAACTGGGAAGGGGAGTCTGTACTGGGGGGGGGGGGGGGGGGTCTGTACTGGGGGTAGTAAGTAAGGGGATGTGGTTCACATGGAGCACTGACTCGCTAGGGGGTCTGTGTCCACCTGACACCACAGCGCCTTGCAAACGCAAAAAAAAAATCAATGTCAGGGGGACACAGCAACCCCCCCACAAGTTGGCAGTCGGTGCTCCCCTGACAGTGGCAGTTCATAGTGAGGGGAAATCTCCTCCTACTATATATCAGGGCCAAGAGGACGACTTCCCCCACTCTGAACTGTTGCAACATCTGGTTGTCAGGTGAATATTTTTAGGGAGGGAGCATCCTTTCCTGGAGGTCTGTACTGGGTGGGGGCAGTGGTGGTGTCTCTTCACAGAAGGGTCTATAATGGGGGGGTCTCTGCTGAGTGGTGACTGTCCTGAGCAATTTGAAGCCGTGACATGTTGGGTATCGACTGACTCGGCACAACCTCATCTTATATATTTTAGCTAAAAAAAAATTATGTATCGTCAAAAATTAACTTCAGTGTATTCTTTACAGAAATTTTTTGTCTTGATAAATCATTCCACAAATATCACATGACATTAAAAAAAAAAAAAAAAAATCCAATCTATCACTTTTTATTCTCCAGGGTCTCTACTTTCAGAAAACGTACATTTTGGGGGTTTAAAGGAATTTTCAAGCCTAAAAATTATTTTTTTACATTTAAAAAGTCCTGGATTCTTTCTTGGATACACAGAATATAACATTTATAGGTAACGTTGATCCAGGGAATATCTGATTGCCTCTCGGGGGATCAGGAAGGAATTTTTTTTTCCCAGCAGGAAAAAATTGGATCGTGCTTTGCTGGGTTTTTTTTTGCCTTCCTCTGGATCAACGGTGGGTGTAGGATTATAACTTTTTTTTTGTATTTTTTTATTTTTTTATTTTTTTTTAATGGTTGAAATGGATGGACTTTTGTCTTTTTTTCAGCCAGACTAACTATGTACATATGTGCAAAAATTACTCTGAGTGTGAAAGAGTTTCTACAGATTGAATTCTATTTCTGCTTTTTTTTATTTTTATTTTTTTATTTCCTAAATATATTTTTTTTCCCGGCATCCCTTCCTAATTCCTTCACCCCCCCCCCCCAACCCGACTAGAAAGAGGAGGATCTAAATATGAAATCTCTTCCTAAATAGAGATGAGAATGTAAAGAAAAAATTAAATAATAATTACAGAAGAAGAAAAAAAAAAAAACAAATGTCAGGTTTTAATGAAGTCTGATGGGGTGGACATGGAAATTATTAACGTGTGTCAAAATTCATTACACGGCTGGACATGTGAAATCCCGGATACAGAGCAAAAGATTATAAATAGTAATAAAAACCTCATAAATAGCAAATCACAAAACGCACAAGTTGAGATTTTTTTTTTTTTGTGCAATCAAAACGTGGAATGTGACTCACATTTTGGCGTAAGAAAGTGCAGCTCCAATGGAAATCGCCGTATTTTGTGTAATATGAATATTTCCTATGCTCCTGAGTGCCATCTAGTGACCGTAATACAGTAATTCCCCTGAATGAGGTATTTTAGAAACAATACTGCATTATGGCCATCGGATGGCGCTTATATTAGAAAATGATCAATGGCGATTTTTTTTTTTTTGTTGGGGTTGAGCGAATGTTTGTCCCATTTATTCAGCAACGTTTTTGTACGTAGACCCTATATAGTCCATTTCTCAAGTTTAACCCAAGAACTGCATGCTCAGCGGTCACGTGATTGCTCAGTTCTCTGTCTTTGTGCCGGCTCCACCCAGAGGTCTGATTGGCAGCTGGATCAGCCTCTCAGCACACCGCTCCAGCAAGCACTGGAGGGGCAGAGCACAGAGTGGTGACTGACTGTCGCTTCTCTCTGCTCACAGTAAACCAAAAACAGAGATCAGTGGTCTTGTGATCGCTCAGTTCTCCATCTTTGAGCCGGCTCCACCCTGGGGCCTAGTCGGCAGCTGTATCAGCCTTTCAGCACACCGCTCCAGTGAGCACTGGAGGGGCAGAGCACAGAGCGATGACTGACAGTCACCGCTCTCTATTCAGAGCTGAATCAAGAACTGCGTGCTCAGTGGTCACGTGATTGCTCAGTTCTCTGTCTTTGAGCCGGCTCCACCCTGGGGCCTAGTCAGCAGCTGGATTAGCCTTTCAGCACACTGCTCCAGTGAGCACTGGAGGGGCAGAGCACAGAGCGGTGACTGACAGTCGCTTTTCTCTGCTCAGAGTGAACCAAGAACATAGTGATCAGCGGTTATGTGATTGCTCCGTTCTCCGTCTTTGAGCCGGCTCCACCCAGGACGTCTGATTGGCAGCTGGATCGGCCTCTCAGCACACCGCTCCAGCAAGCACTGCAGAGGCAGAGAACAGAGCAATGACTGACAATTGCTTCTCTCTGCTCAGAGTGAACCAAAAACAGTGTGATCAGCGGTCATGTGATCACTCAGTCCTCAGTCTTTGAGCTGGCTCCACCCTGGGGCCTAGTCGGCAGTTGGAACTGCCTTTCAGCACACCGCTCCAGTGAGCACTGAAGGAGTAGAGCACAGAGCAGTGACTGACATTCGCTTCTCTCTGCTCAGAGTGAACCAAAAACAGTGTGATCAGCGGTCATGTGATCACTCAGTCCTCAGTCTCCACCCTGGGGCCTAGTCGGCAGTTGGATCAGCCTCTCAGCACACCGCTTCAGTGAGCACTGGAGGGGCAGAGCACAGAGCGATGACTGACAGTCACCACTCTTTACTCAGAGGTGAATCAAGAGTGCTCAGAGGTCATGTGATCACTCAGTTCTCCGTCTTTGATCTGGTAGGGGACAGCTGCAGCATCACACCGATGCTGCAACATGGAGGGGACTATGTAGGTTTTTTTCGGGTTTTTTTTTTTTTACCTTACGACCCCAAACTTCTCTTTTAGTAAGCGCTGCTTTAACAGGTGAATTCTTAGAGGACTCCACAAAGCAAATATTATTTATACATTAACATCGGTATCATGGAAAAACAAGATACTTACAAGGATTGCAGGTTGGGCAACATATCAAACTGGTTATGTGGAATATAATTGAGAGGATTGAAGGATATATTCCTGAAAAGTAAAATATTAAAAATTAGCATCCACGTAGTACCAGAACAACTGTCCTATCGACTATCAGACATGGAGATATCTAGCATACGGGTACACGAGGCTATAGGGACGTTGAGAGACAAAAAAATGGCATGTATAGGGGTCTATTTAGAAATAATTTGTTGCACGATTGTCAAAAGCATTCGTAGAAGTTGAACGAAAAGTCCTGTATTATTTCTAGTAGATGAATTCCGGTATCGTCAGCTCCATCTAATGGCCAAAATGCGGTATAGTTTTCTCAAGGAGAGATTTCAGAAAACTATACCTCCATTTCGGCCACTAGGTAGAGCTGATGATACCGGAATTCGACTCTTAGGAAAAATACGGTGACCTTTCCTTCAGCTTGCATGAATGTTTTATAAACAGACCCCATACACACACATAGGTTGAACTGGATGGACCGGTGACTTTTTTTTTTTGAACCCTTCAAACTATATATAAAATTTATAGCTGTAGTTATTCCGATCAGTCCAATAATATGTCATCATAGTAGATGGAAACCCAATCCTTAAATCTCATAGAAGCTTTAACATGTTAATGTTGATTTGTTTTCAATATTTGTAGATCTGCAACTTTCTATATAATGATCCTCGGCGATCCTGCCAAAAAGGCCCTCGCTCAGGCAGCTCCTGTAATGGGGTGACGACGCTCTGTCCCCCAGTTGTGCTCCTGCGTTGTCACCCCATCACACAGGGTTCCAATGGTCACTACAAGTGTCCATCAGGAACACCTGACCGTCACACCTATATGAGCTTGCTGGACATCCCATTCCAAAATTTTGGCCATTATATGGTGTTGCCCCCTCTGAGGCTATAACATCCTCTATTCGTGTGTGAAGGCTCTCCAAAAGGTTTTGGGAATTTGTCTACATCTTCTAGGTCAGGTGCTGATGTTGGATGAGAAGACCTGGCTCATGATCTATGTCTCAGTTCATCCCAAAGGAGTTCAGTAGGGTTGAGGTCAGGGCTCTGTGCAGGATTCTCAAGTTCCTTCATGACCTCAAACTTACTGAACACCTTTGGGCTGAGAAGACCTGATCCCAAAGCTATTCAGTAGGGTTAAGGGCGGCTACTGATGTTGGATGAGAAAACCTCATCCCAAAGGTGTTCAGTAGGGTTAAAGGCAGCTACAGATGTCGGATAAGAAGACCTGATCACAAAAGGTATTCAGTAGGGTTAAGGGCGGCTACTGATGTTGGATGAGAAAACCTCATCCCAAAGGTGTTCAGTAGGGTTAAAGGCCGCTACAGATGTCGGATAAGAAGACCTGATCCCAAAGGTGTTCAGTAGGGTTAAGGGCGGCTACTGATGTTGGATGAGAAGACCTCATCCCAAAAGGTATTCAGTAGGGTTAACGGTGGCTACTAATGTTGGATGAGAAGACCTCATCCCAAAGGTGTTCAGTAGGGTTGAGGTCAGGGCTCTGTGCAGGTTTCTCAAGTTCCTCCATGACCTCAAACTTACTGACCACCTTTGGGCTGAGAAGACCTGATCCCAAAAGGTATTCAGTAGGGTTAAGGGTGGCTACTGATGTTGGATGAGAAGACCTCATCCCAAAAGGTGTTCAGTAGGGTTAAGGGCAGCTACTGATGTTGTAGGAGAAGATCTGATCCCAAAGGTGTTCAGTAGGGTTGAGGTCAGGGCTCTGTGCAGGATTCTCAAGTTCCTCCATGACCTCAAACTCACTGAACACCTTTAGGCTGAGAAGACCTGATCCCAAAGCTATTCAGTAGGGTTAAGGGCGGCTACTGATTTTGGATGGGAAGACCTCATCCCAAAGGTGTTCAGTAGGGTTAAGGGCGGCTACTAATGTTGGATGAGAAGACCTCATCCCAAAGGTGTTAAGTAGGGTTAAAGGCAGCTACTAATGTTGGATGGGAAGACCTGATCCCAAAGGTGTTCAGTAGGGTTAAGGGCAGCTACTAATGTTGGATGAGGAGATGTCATCTCAAAGGTGTTCAGTAGGGTGAAGGGCAGCTACTGATGTTGTAGGAGAATATCTGATCCCAAAGGTGTTCAGTAGGGTTGAGGTCAGGGCTCTGTGCAGGATTCTCAAGTTCCTCCATGACCTCAAACTTACTGAACACCTTTGGGCTGAGAAGACGTGATCCCAAAGCTATTCAGTAGGGTTAAGGGCAGCTTCTAATTTTGGATGAGAAGACCTCATCCCAAAGGTGTTCAGTAGGGTTAAAGGCGGCTACAGATGTCGGATGAGAAGACCTGATCACAAAAGGTATTCAGTAGGGTTAACAGTGGCTACTAATGTTGGATGAGAAGACCTCATCCCAAAGGTGTTCAGTAGGGTTAAGGGCAGCTACTAATGTTGGATGAGAAGACCTGATCCCAAAAGGTGTTCAGTAGGGTTAAGGGCGGCTACTGATGTTGGATGAGAAGACCTGATCCCAAAGGTGTTCAGTAGGGTTAAGAGCGGCTACTGATGTTGGATGAGAAGACCTGATCCCAAAGATGTTCAGTAGGGTTAAGGGCGGCTACTAATGTTGGATGAGAAGATCTCATCCCAAAAGGTGTTCAGTAGGGTTAAGGGCGGCTACTGATGTTGGGATGAGAAGACCTCTTCCCAAAAGGTGTTCAGTAGGGTTAAGGGCAGGTACTGATGTTGGGTGAGACCCAACAACCCCCCCCTGTTCTGGGAAGGCTTGTTAGCACAAGGTTGGAAAAGCACCATTGTCTTAAACAGTGGTTCCCAACCTCAGTTCTCGAGTACCCCCCAACAGGCCATGTCTTAATAAAGTCCTATATAAAATAGCTCTCAAACTCCAACCCATTGATGTTGAGCTAATGTACTTGTGCAAGCTAAAGAAAATCTTGGATACATGACCTGGTGGTGGTACTTGAGAGCTGAGGTTGGGAAACACTTGTCTTAAATGTCTTCCCCAAACTGTGACCTCAAGGTTGGAAGAGCACAAATGTCTACAATCTCTTTGTATGATGGAGAATCAACAGGACCCTTCACTGGAGACACCTGAACCCAGTACTTTGAAAGGGGTGGAGGGGGGTTCAGATACTTTTGGTCATATAATGAATGATTAAAAAGGTGACATAAGAACACTCACAACTGTTGAAGTTCTTGCAGGTTGGCGAACAGTGATGGGGGAAACGTCTCCATCTGGTTACCAGAAAGGTCTCTGTTTATGGACAAGGTAACATAATAGACAGTTAGATGTTCCATCAAACAATATTTTGAGTTAATGAAAATCTATAGTGGGGGGGAGGGAGGCAATATACAGTATAAGCAATTTAAAAGCCAACTCCACCTTTTGCACCATGTTACGTGTTACCCATGTAGCATGGTGCAAATGAGACACGACTCTTGTATTTAAACAATATTTGCCCATCCTAGAGTTCAGCTGTAAGGCAAATCAGTGTATTTTTTTTTTTTTTTAACTGCCTATGCAGATGCACCAGGAAGTTGGAGGAGATCTATCAAAGTGAGATAGAACAATTTTCCCCATTGAAAGGTTTCTTGGTGGTGGCAACTGTTGGATTTCCTATAGATTTGACTAGTAATGAGCTAAAGTTTATGCTGAACTCACTGGAAACTGTCACGTGGTAGCAGACCACCCAGTCAGCTATGGATGACAGTGACTTCATTGACTCAATATGGGCACATGGCTAAATTTGGACAATGTCAATGACCAAATATGGCCACCTTCATCGCCACCCAGTCAGCTTTGGCCATGGAATTCCCCCAACCTGCAGCTGCACGTTAAAGGGACAGGGATGCCGGTGACATCATTGACCTAATTTGGGGAGATGGTTACATTTGGACAATGTCAATGACCACATATGGCCACCCCCATCACCACCCATTGGTGATGGAATTCCCCACCCCGCAGCTGCACTTAAAGAGGTGGGGATGCCGGTGGCATCATTGACCTAATCAGGGGTGGGACTGACAACTCATGGGGCCCCCGGGCAATAGGGGATCATGGGGCCCCTGTGCCCTTGCCCAAACTCAAAAAAGCCTAGGAAAAAGGTACCAGGGGCATCTCATGGGGCCCCCTACTGACCCCGGGCCCTCGGGCTGTGCCAGAGTTTCCAAATGGTCAGTCCACCCCTGGACCTAATTAATTTGGGGACATGGTTAAATTTGGACAATGGCAATGATCAAATATGGCCATGTGGCCATATTAGGTCAATGATGTCATCAGCCTCCCTGCCTCTTTGTGAAGAGCGTCTGCAGGACAGGGGACTCCTCGGCCAAAGCGGATTGGGTTGGTGATCTACCATCATGTGACAGTTTTCTCCACGTTTGGCCCGAACCTTCAGTAGCTGTGCCAATGGTTACAGGACAGTTAGAGAGGGTGAACCTCTCAGAGGGAACACTGGCAACAATAAAACCTGACCGGGGCTTTAACTCTTTCACATTCCATCCAAAATTAGGAGAAAAGAACATCTAGTTTACCATCCCATATCAGGATCTAAAGTAGCATAGCTATGCCTTCGTGTTTGTATTTCTTTGAATGATAATGGATGTGAACAAAACAAAGCTGCACCCCGTTATTAAGAACAGAAAGACTCACAGGTCTACCAGCTTGGGCATCTGAGTCAGTGCTTTGTTCTTGATCCCTTGTATCTTGTTTCGACGCAAGACTCTACGAGAGAAGAACGGAAGATCTGTTACGTTAACACATTGAGGACATTAGGAGACACCCTCCCCCCATTAGCTTTTCAACTGCCCATTTGTGGCCAAATAATTCGTTACCCCCCTTCCCCCAAAACATGATATATTTTCTGAAAGAAGAGACCCTGCAGAATAAACTGTTGGTAGATGCAATTTTCTAAGTCACATGATATTAGAACTTCATCAGGGAGGTGTATTTAGGACACTATAGGAGCGGAAGGGTGGGATTCCTTTCATGCAAAGCATATAGGTCAGTATCAAATCTCACCCAGAAGCTCTTAAAGTGTCTTAAACACACTTTACCGATGAAGTGGCAAGTAGAAGTCATGAAATGCGTTGAGGGTGTTATATCTTATAACCAATAAAAACCCACATCCTTCTACCTGAGACTTTTAAAGACCTCCAACTTTATGGGCACACCTACTCTACTGACCTTTTGGGACCAAGTTCCTGGTACATGAGCGGAGAATCCTAAATATGAACACCCAGACCTAGGGAGGTATAAAGTCTCTGAATCAAAAGATGTTGTTTCGGGGGGTAACAGAACCCCTCAGATAAGACCTGCTAACGCCTCCTATAGAAAAGGGGGACTGGGGCACCTAGTCACCCTGAAACCCCATACCTCCCCGGGTCTGGGTGCTCCTTCTCAGGGTTATCGGCTCATTTACCTGTCTTGATACTTTGTACTTTTTTTTTTTTTTCTTACAATGTATACCTTAAGACACTTAAAGGGTCTTCAAAAATCCTTCCTGATGAAGTGTCCAGAAGAAGTCATGAAACGCGTTGACAATGATACATGTATGTCTTATAAGTAAACATAATAGATTTTATGAAAGCAGAGACCTTAGAAAATAAAATGGTGGTAATTGCAGTTTTTTTTTTTTAAGTGCTTCATTAGGAAGGTGTATTTAAGACACTATAGGAGCGGATGGGTGGGATTACTTTCATACAAAGCATATAGGTCAGCATCAAATCTCACCCAGAAGCTCTTAAAGTGTCTTAAATACACCGTCCTGATGAAGTGGCAAGTAGAAGTCATGAAATGCATTGATGGCGTTATACTTGTATCTTATAACCAATAAAAACCCACATCCTCTTACTTGAGATTTTTTAAAGACCTCCAACTTTATGGGTGCACCTCCTCTACTGACCTTTTTGGACCAAGTTCCTGGTACATGAGAACCCTAAATATGAAGACACAGACCTAGGGAGGGATAAAGTCTCTGAATCAAAAGAAGTTTCGGGGGTAACAGAACCCCTTCTTCAGATAAGACCTGCTAAGGCCTCCTATAAAAAGGGGGACTGGGGCACCTAGTCACCCTGAAACATCATTTGATTCAGAGACCCCATACCTCCCTGGGTCTGGGTGCTCCTTCTCAGGGTAGACATCTCATTTACCTGTCTTGATACTTTGTACTTCTTTTTTTTCTTACAATGTATACCTTAAGACACTTAAAGGGTCTTCAAAAAACCTTCCTGATGAAGTGTCCAGAAGAAGTCATGAAACACGTTGACAATGATACATGTATGTCTTATAAGTAAACATAATAGATTTTCTGAAAGCAGAAACCCTCAGATAAGACTTGCCAAGACCTCCTATAAAAAAGTGGGACTGGGGGCACCTAGTCACCCTGAAACCCCATACCTCCCTGGGTCTGGGTGCTGCTTCTCAGGGTAATCGTCTCATTTACCTGTCTTGATACTTTGTACTTCCTTTTTTCTTACAATGTATACCTTAAGACACTTAAAGGGTCTTCAGAAAACCTTCCTGATGAAGTGTCCAGAAGAAGTCATGAAACGCGTTGACAATGATACATGTATGTCTTATAAGTAAAAATAATAGATTTTATGAAAGCAGAGACCTTGGAAAATAAAATGGTGGCAGTTGCTTCATCAGGAAGGTGTATTTAAGACACTTTGAGAACTCTGGGGTGGGGTTCTTTTCATGCAGACAATGAAGGTTAGTATCCAATCTCACCCAGAATCCCCTAAACTGTCCTGAATATTCCCGACTGATGAAGTGGCCAGCAGAAGCTACGAAACGTGTTGATGTTATATATACACTCACCGGCCTCATTAGGTCCACCTGTTCAATGGCTTTGTAACAAAAACTGCTAATCAGCCAATCACACGGCAGCAACTCAATGCATTTAGGCATCTAGACGTGGTGAAGATGGCCTGCTGAAGTTCAAACCGAGCATCAATATGGGGAAGAAAGGGGATTTAAGTGACTTTGAACGTGGCATGGTTGTTGGTACCATACGGGCTGGTCTCAGTATTTCAAAAACTGCTGATCTACTGGGATTTTCAGGGCAGAGGACAGGGATTACCGCTGGCAGGGCAGAGGACAGGGATCACCGCTGGCAGGGCAGAGGACAGGGATCAGTACTATAAAGCCAGAGGACAGGGATCACCGTTGGCGTGGCAGAGGGCAGGGATCACCGCTGGAAAGGCAGAGGACAGGGATCACCGCTGGCAGGGCAGAGGACAGGGATCACCGCTGGCAGGGCAGAGGACAGGGATCACCGCTGGCAGGGCAGAGGACAGGGATCACCGCTGGCAGGGCAGAGGACAGGGATCACCGCTGGCAGGGCAGAGGACAGGGATCAGTACTATAAAGGCAGAAGACAGGGATCAGTACTATAAAGGCAGAGGACAGGGATAACCACTGGCAGGGCAGAGGACAGGGATAACCACTGGCAGGGCAGAGGACAGGGATAACCACTGGCAGGGCAGAGGACAGGGATAACCACTGGCAGGGCAGAGGATAGGGATCACCGCTGGCAGGGCAGAGGACAGGGATCACAGCTGGAAAGGCAGAGGACAGGGATCACAGCTGGAAAGGCAGAGGACAGGGATCACCACTGAAAAGACAGAGGTTGGGGATTCTTGGTGGGGTGCAGCCCACCCCGGCACCCCTCTAGATCCTGCCATGTTTCAGGGTAGGCTCCTTGTTCTTTGCTAATACTCCAGCGGTCGAAACGCGAAGGTGCGGAGCCAGCGAAAAGTGCCAAATTATCCTAAGGACATTCCTGAAGTAACCTCAATCCTGCTGGCTGAAGCTGTCCTCTGGTAACACATATGGTGGATATGGAGCAGGGGCGGACTGACTATTCGAGCATTCGGGCACTGCCTGAGGGCCCGGGGTCAGTAGGGGGCCCCATGAAATGCCCCTGGTACCTTTTTTATAGGCTTTTTTAGAATGTGGGCAAGAATACAGGGGCCCCATGATCCCCTAGTGCGTAATACAAGGTGTGCTAGTGGTCACTCCCAACTGAAGTACCTCATATACGGCCCACCTACACTCAAGGCATGGCCCACTGTTCCCACCATCAGGAAACCCAACATGCAACCATCGCTGGAATGCATGTACACGGGAAGCGGCTGCAGAAAGAGGGTGCGGGAGATCAGCAGCACTGAGATGTAACAAAGAGTACAAAAAAAAGCTGAAAACAAGAATTTCATGAAAAAAAAGACTTGTTGTTTTTGATACACAGAGCGAAGTAAACGTCATTCAGTCATGGTGTACATCTACACGAATGTAAAGATTATCTCCATCCCAGGGGTAGACTGACAACTCATGGTGCCCCCCGGGCAATAGGGGATCATGGGGCCCCTGTGTCCTTGCCCAAACTCAAAAAAGCCTATGAAAAAGGTACCAGGGGCATCTCATGGAGCCCCCTACTGACCTCGGGCCCTTTTCCAAATGGTCAGTCCGCCCGTTCCATCCCCATCACATCCATGACCTGATGGAGAGACTCATTAAAACTATCAAAAGCAAAATGTCCGCTGATTTTTGTAAAATTGGTCCTTCTTGGCTTTTTAAAACATTTTTTACATTTTTTCCGTAGAAGATATAATTAGGATGGACCGTCTTTCAAATGAGGTAATTTTGTTTACACCGAGAAAAGTAATTTTAGTTACTAATTATATCTGTGTCAGGAAAATACTGTCCAGAGAACGCAAGGATAAACACGGGTTTGTGTTTAAAATTCGCGGAGAGAGGAGAGACGCGGTTTGCGCTGACAGTTTTACGAAGATATAAAGCAGTTGTGAGAGGAAAAAAAAAAAAAAAAAAAGATGTGGCTGTGGGAACGGGCCGACTCCGCACCTCTTCGAAGTATTATCTCTGTATTTAGAAGGAGAAGACTTCAAGATCCATGGGTGATCAAAGCCCCCGGTACATTTCTGAAATTAGGAAAAACAGGTGGTCAAAGGAGACGTCACCCAGATCTGCTAGCTAAGGTGCTTGGCATCCACATGTGGTGACGGGGGTGGGGGTTGGGTTTGGTCATGGATGACTACAAGATCTGGCCATCCTCAAAATGAATATTCTCTGTACCATGCACCAAGTACCAGCTCAACATTCTACAACATCTCAAACAGAGACTTGCAAGGTGGAAAGCGATCATATCAGATCCTTTTAAGTCCATAATTGATTTGATTTAGAGTTCCATCACGAAAATCCATTGCATTTCGGGATCTCCCTTCAAAAGGGTTTGTGCTGTTCAACGTGTGTTCTGGACTAGTAAAGTTGGAAGGATCCTGACGGGTAATGGTATGATTTCCTTCGGCATGGAGTCTAAGTAACAGGTGGTCTTCACAAGAGCTCCTGATGGAGGAGATAGGCCAAAAACCCTAGTGATTCTGGGTTTCTTCACTGCAATATCTAAAAGACGTGTGCCCTCAGGAATGCCCCATCAAGGGGGATTGAACAGAACGGCTACAGTGTGGGGACTGTACACAAAACGGTCATTGGCAGACAGAAGGTAGGTCCAGCTAGAGGTTGAAGGTAGGCAAGAGAGCAGTCAGGTCCAGGTAGAGGTTGAAGGTAGGCAAGAGAGCAGTCAGGTCCAGGTAGAGGTTGAAGGTAGGCAAGAGAGCAGTCAGGTCCAGGTAGAGGTTGAAGGTAGGCAAGAGAGCAGTCCCAGGTAGAGTCCTTGCCAAGAGAGCAGTCAGGTCCAGGTAAAGAAGGTCAAAGGCTGGCATAAGAGCACTCAGTCCAGGTAGAGGTTGAAGGTAGGCAAGAGAGCAGTCCGCCCCTGGTCCAGGTAGAGGTTGAAGGAAGGCAAGAGAGCAGTCAGGTCCAGACCAGAGGCGGACTAGGCAAGAGAGCAGTCATGGGGGTCCCCCATAAGAGAACTCAGGTCCAGATAGAGAATGAAGGCATCAAGAGGCCCTCAGTGTCCTTGCCCAAACTCAAAAAAGCCTAGGAAAAAAGCAGGGTCCCAGAGGTCATCGTAGGCAAGAGAGCAGTCCCTCTGACCCCGGGCCCTCGGGCAAAAGCCCGTCAGTTTCCAGGCAGAGGTCAGTCGTGGCCCAGTGGTCCAGACAGAGGTTGAGGGTAGACAAGAGAGCAGTCAGGTCCGGGAGAGGCCAAAGGCAGGCAATAGCAGTCAAGTCAGGTCAAGGCAGAAAGCAGTCAGGTTGGGAAGGGTAGGGTAGGCAAAAAGCACTCAGGTCCAGGTAGAGAATGAATGCAAGCATAAGAGCACTCAGGTCCAGGCAGAGGCCGAAGGTAGGCAAGAGAGAAGTCAGGCCTGGGCAGAGGTCGAGGGTAGGCAAAGAGGACAGTCAGGCCCAGATAGAGTATGAAGGCATGCAAGAGAGCAGGTCAGTCAGAGGCCAAAGGCAGGCAAGAGAGTACTCTGGTCAGGCAGAGGTCGAGTCAAGGTAGGCAAGAGAGCACTCAGGTCCAGGCAAAGGCTGAAGGCAGGCAAGAGAGCAGTCAGGTCCAGGCAGAGGTTGAGGGTAGGCAAGAGAGCACTCAGGTCCAGGCAGAGGTCGAGGGTAGGCAAGAGAGCAGCACTCAGGTCTGGCAGTGGCCGAAGTCAGGCAAGAGAGCAGTTAGGTCCAGGCAGAGGTCGAGGGTAGGCATAAGAGAGCAGTCAGGTCTGGGCAGAGGTCGAGGGTAGGCAAGAGAGCAGTCAGGTCTGGGCAGAGGTC